AGTTCAGTTCTAGTTCAGTTCTAGTTCAGTTCTAGTTCAGTTCTAGTTCAGTTCTAGTTCAGTTCTAGTTCAGTTCTAGTTCAGTTCTAGTTCAGTTCTAGTTCAGTTCTAGTTCAGTTCTAGTTCAGTTCTAGTTCAGTTCTAGTTCAGTCTAGTTCAGTCTAGTTCAGTTCTAGTTCAGTTCTAGTTCAGTTCTAGTTCAGTCTAGTTCAGGTCTAGTTCAGTTCTAGTTCAGTTCTAGTTCAGTTCTAGTTCAGTTCTAGTTCAGTTCTAGTTCAGTTCTAGTTCAGTTCTAGTTCAGTTCTAGTTCAGTTCTAGTTCAGTTCTAGTTCAGTTCTAGTTCAGTTCTAGTTCAGTTCTAGTTCAGTTCTAGTTCAGTTCTAGTTCAGTTCTAGTTCAGTTCTAGTTCAGTTCTAGTTCAGTTCTAGTTCAGTTCTAGTTCAGTTCTAGTTCAGTTCTAGTTCAGTTCTAGTTCAGTTCTAGTTCAGTTCTAGTTCAGTTCTAGTTCAGTTCTAGTTCAGTTCTAGTTCAGTTCTAGTTCAGTTCTAGTTCAGTTCTAGTTCAGTTCTAGTTCAGTTCGTTCGAGTTCAGTTCTAGTTCAGTTCTGAGTTCAGTTCTCGTTCAGTTCTAGTTTCAGTTCTAGTTCAGTTCTCATTTAAGTTCAAGTTCTAGTTATTCTAGTTCAGATTTAGTTCAGTTCTAGTTCAGTTCTAGTTCAGTTCTAGTTCAGTTCTAGTTCAGGTCTAGTTCCTAGTTCTAGTCATTAAGTTCAGTTCTAGTTCGTTCCTAGTTCAATTCTAGTTCAGTTCTATGTTCCGTTCTAGTTCAGTTCTAGTTCAGTTCTAGTTCAGTTCTCGTTCAGTTCTAGTTCAGTTCTAGTTCAGTTCTCGTTTCAGTTCTAGTTCAAGTTCTAGTTCAGTTCTAGTTCAGTTCTAGTTCAGTTCTAGTTCAGTTCTAGTTCAGTTCTAGTTCAGTTCTAGTTCAGTTCTAGTTCAGTTCTAGTTCAGTTCTAGTTCAGTTCTAGTTCAGTTCTCGTTCAGTTCTAGTTCAGTCTAGTTCTGTTCAGTGCGTTCTAGTTTCGTTCTAGTTCAGTTCTAGTTCAGTTCAGTCAGTTCTAGTTCAGTTCTAGTTCAGTTCTAGTTCAGTTTTTTTTACAGAATGTTATTTTACATTGGTATAGAACTTATCATATTTTTTGAGTTCAAAATTATTATACTGTGCATCTTATATTTTAATTTAAAAACTAATTAATTAATTTAATGATTGATTGATAGCTATGGCAGATTTTAGTATTAATCTGTTCTAAGTTCACTAAACTTATTTGTAACCTTTTGCAGGGGCTTATGCCTCGTTTGCTTAATTTACATGTACTGCTCACCCTGGCCATCTAAAAGTATGCTTCATACTTTTTAGCTAAAACATTTATATGTTTTAAATGTATTAAATTCAATGACTTTCTCATTGCTCTCTGCTTTTGTATTTGTTATTGCTGCTATATTTTTTATATATTTCTTGGGGATGTTCATTTAAACTACACTTAATTTAATTAAATGTAAAATAAAAACTAAATTAGAAATGCTTTTATTGTATGACCCTCATTCCGAAAACCCCTTTGAGCAGAACACACAAACATAGAGACATAAATACTGCATACTTATACAGACACACACGCCCCCGAACTCCCACTATAGTTTGTTTAGCAAATATAAAGCAAAATATAAAATAGCAAAAATACTTAAATGTTTATCAATATGTGAATGGCAATAGTGGCTGTAGAATTGTATACAAATTGAGACAAGTCTCAAAAGGTTTTTCCCCTCGTTAGCTTATGGAAGGGTGAATCACAAAGTGATTGACTCAAAAGTAATATTAAACAAATGGCAACAACAAATTCGAGAACACATAATAATAACAAAAAAAAAAAAAAAGATAAAATTGGCAAAGCAGCCAAACTAACTAAATCTGTATTTAGTCTAAGCAGACTCACAGACTGACAGACAGTCGAGTGTTGATAAAAATAGATTTTTGGAAAATTGTGTTAAGGATTAAGGCGGGGAATCAATTATAAACAGATTGATTTCAGGCTATTCAAAGAGTAGTAAAGGGAGACTTCAACGAGGGAGCTTAGAAATGGATTTATTATGTTAATACCAGAGGAAAAGCGTGAGATAATTGAAAATAATCGCAATCAAATGTTTAGCAAAATAGATAAAAATATATAAGAAGATATGTACCGACTTTTTGTCATTCCAAGTAGTTCTAAAACTGTTTTAGTTTTTTTTTTTTGTAGTTCTGTTCTAGTTGTGTACTGGTTGAGTATTAGTTGAGCTCTAGTTGAGTTTACAGTTGTGTTTTAATTGAGTTCTAGTTCAGATACAGCTCAGTTTTAGTTGAATTCTAGTTCAATTCATCTTAGTTAAGGTATAGTTCAGTTCTAGTTGAGTTCTAGTTGTGTTGTAGTTATTTTCTAGTTCTGTTCTAGTTGAGTTCTAGTTCTGTTCTAGTTGAGTTCTAATTATGTACTAGCTGAGTTTTAGTTGAGTTCTAGGTCAGTTCTAGTTCAGTTCTATATAGTTGAGTTCGAGTTGAATTCTAGTTGATTTCTAGTTGAGTTACCGTTCAGTTCTAGTTGAGTTCTAATTGGGTTCTAGTTGCGTACTAGTTGAGTGCTATTTCAGTTCAAGTTGAGTTCTACGTCAGTTCCAGTTCAGTTCTAGTTGAGTTCTAGTAAGACATCTAATTGAGTTCTACATCAGTTTCATTTCAGTTCTAGATAAGTTCAAGCTGAGTTTTAGTGTCTTCGAGTTCAGTTACAGTTCAGTTCTTATTAGATGACTTTTAGTTCAGTTTTCAGTTCAACTCTAGTTGAGTTCCAGTTGACTTCTAGATCAGTTCTACTTGAGTTCTAGTTCTAGTTCAGTTCTAGTTCTGTTCAAGTTGAGTTCTACTTGAGTTTTATTCCAGTTCAGGTTCTAGTTGAGTGAGTTCTAGTAACATTGTAGTCTGTTCTAGTTCTGTTCAGTTCTGTTCTAGTCTGTTTAGTTATGTTCTAGTTCTGTTTAGTTCTGTTCTAGTTATGTTCTAGTTCTGTTATAGTTATCTTCTAGTTCTGTTAGTTCTGCTCTAGTTCTGTCTAGTTCTGTTCTAGTTCTGTTCTAGTTCTGTTCTAGTTCTGTTCTAGTTCTGTTATCTAGGTTCTGTTCTAGTTCTGTTCTAGTTCTGTTCTATTCTGTTCTAGTTCTGTTCTAGTTCTGTTCTAGTTCTGTTTCTAGTTCTGTTCTAGTTCCTGTTCTAGTTCCTGTTTCTAGTTCTGTTCTAGTTCTGTTCTAGTTCTGTTCTAGTTCTGTTCTAGTTCTGTCTAGTCTGTTCTAGTTCTGTTCTAGTTCTGTTCTAGTTCTGTTCTAGTTCTGTTTCTAGTTCTGTTTCTAGTTCTGTTCTAGTTCTGTTCTAGTTCTGTTCTAGTTCTGTTCTAGTTCTGTTCTAGTTCGTTCTATGTTCTGTTCTAGTTCTGTTCTAGTTCTGTTCTAGTTCTGTCTAGTTCTGTTCTAGTTCTGTTCTAGTTCTGTTCTAGTTCTGTTCTAGTTCTGTTCTAGTTCTGTTCTAGTTCTGTTCTAGTTTTCTAGTTCTGTTCTAGTTCTGTTCTAGTTCTGTTCTAGTTCTGTTCTAGTTCTGTTGCTAGTTCTGTTCTAGTTCTGTTCTAGTTCTGTTCTAGTTCTGTTCTAGTTCTGTTCTAGTTCTGTTCTAGTTCTGTTCTAGTTCTGTTCTAGTTCTGTTCTAGTTCTGTTCTAGTTCTGTTCTAGTTTCTGTTCTAGTTCTGTTCTAGTTCTGTTCTAGTTCTGTTCTAGTTCTGTTCTAGTTCTGTTCTAGTTCTGTTCTAGTTCTGTTCTAGTTCTGTTCTAGTTCTGTTCTAGTTCTGTTCTAGTTCTGTTCTAGTTCTGTTCTAGTTCTGTTCTAGTTCTGTTCTAGTTCTGTTCTAGTCTGTTCTAGTTCTGTTCTAGTCTGTTCTAGTTTCTGTTCTAGTTCTGTTCTAGTTCTGTTCTAGTTCTGTTCTAGTTCTGTTCTAGTTCTGTTCTAGTTCTGTTCTAGTTCTGTTCTAGTTCTGTTCTAGTTCTGTTCTAGTTCTGTTCTAGTTCTGTTCTAGTTCTGTTCTAGTTCTGTCTAGTTCTGTTCTAGTTCTGTTCTAGTCTAGTTCTGTTCTAGTTCTGTTCTAGTTCTGTTCTAGTTCTGTTCTAGTTCTGTTCTAGTTCTGTTCTAGTTCTGTTCTAGTTCTGTTCTAGTTCTGTTCTAGTTTCTGTTCTAGTTCTGTTCTAGTTCTGTTCTGTTCGTTCTAGTTCTGTTCTAGATTCTGTTCTAGTTCTGTTCTAGTTCTGTTCTAGTTCGTTTCTAGTTCTGTTCTAGTTCTGTTTCTATTTTTCTGTTCTAGGTCTGTTCTAAGTTCTGTTCTAGTTCTGTTCTAGTTCTGTCTGTTCTGTGTATAGTTCTGTTCTAGTTCTGTTCTAGTTCTGTTCTAGTCTGTTCTAGTTCTGCTGTCTAAGTTCTGTTCTAGTTCTGTCTAGTTCTGTTCTAGTTCTGTTCTAGTTCTGTTTTAGTTCTGGTTTTAGTTCTGTTTCTAGTTCTAGTTCTAGTTTCTGTTCTAGTTCTGTTCTAGTTCTGTTCTAGTTATGTTTCTAGTTCTGTTCTAATCTGTTCTAGTTCTGTTCTCGTTCTGTTCTAGCTCGGTTTTAGTTCGTGTTTCTAGTTCTGTTCTAGTTCTGTTTCTAGTTCTCTGCTCTAGTTCGGTTACTAGTTTCTGTTCTAGTTCTGTTATAGATCTCTTCTAGTTCTGTTCGAGTTCTGTTATAGATCTGTTCTAGTTCTGTTCTGTTTTAGTTCTGTTCCAGTTGTATTCTACTTTTGTTTTAATTCGAAAATTACAAAAACGTCTGTAAATCAAGACTCTATATCCGAACTATTAAAAATCATTGCAATATGTTTGTTTTTGTTATAATAATTTCACTTACCCCAAACATGATGACACCAAACTCGATGTACTCTTATTTGAATTGAGTTTGTTTGAAGAGTTTCTACCCAGACAGGAACCCATAATCATAAAGTTTTATTTTATATTTTTCCTTTGTTTTTTTTCCTTTTATGCCAACGAGCTCATAAATAACATTTATATACTAAACATATGAAAGGAAAACATATTTTTTATATTTTTGCTGAGTTGTTGTCACTCTAATGAACTTGTCTATGAACCCACACACGCCGCGACGATACACATTTGTAAAACGATTTTTTCGCATAACTTTGTCTAATCAAAATCCTTTGAACCATAAAACATGTTCATGAAGGGCCAAAACAAACTTTTTTTCATATATATTTTTTTGCAGTTTAACCTTGATTTTTTGCCGAAATGTACAAATTGAATGACTAAAAAAAATACTTCAATTGACAAAGGAAGGCATATACAAAAAAAAAAAAAAAAAAACAACAATACACAAATTACAACACTACCATACAAAGGAGTACAGCAGGAACAACAAACTAAAAACACCCCACAATAGGTCAAGGATTTTTTCGTATAACAAGAAGAAGGAGAAAAAACTTTAAAGTTCTTCAAGTTTTGCATTCAAACTTTCACTTTTCAACACAAATTTACAACTTTACTATTTGTGTAAATTTTTTTCACACGTTTTATAAACTTTAATTTTCTTAATTTTCATTTAAGGTTTTACCATTTTCAATGATTTTTTTAACATTACTTTGTATAAATCACTATTTTTGTAGGCTGTTCCTTTGTTTACTTGTGCGAGTAAATTTATTTGCATGTCCACTTTCCATTTACATATATTTTTTTTCTCAATTTCCTATAATTTTTTCCTTTTATGTTGAAAATTGTATTTGTAAGTTTTACAATATTTCCCGTTTCGCTTTGTGTTCATATGGAAGTCAATGACGTATGATGATTTTTCTATGACTCCTGTCTAAACTATGGCGGTTGTTTGTACTTATACTCGTTTATGCACTTGTTCAACATATCCATCGTAATACAACTAACAACTGCTCATTTTGTCTGCCACTCTTTTTACTATTATAGTTCAGCTGTCAAAAATTCAGCAAACAGCTGATTGTCAAATTTCAAAGTTTGTTATTTCATTTTTCGTTTTTCTTTTCAACTCTAATTCTCTGATAGGGGTTATTTTTCGATAACTTTAGTTAATTAAATTGCAACACTTTTCGCTCCTGCTAAAAGCTTCTAAGTTCAAAGCTTTCAAAACCCATTTTTGCAAAAAAGCTTTACAATTTCTTTAAAACGCAATGATAGCAAGTATTTCAACCATTTAAGCTATACGGCTATTTTAAAAGCTTTAAAGTTTTATAGCAATACTTATAATTATTTCCAATTTGTTATAGAAAAACCTATTACGATAAAGACATAAAATCAAATTAAATTAGAACTGGATCAGAGCAGAACACATCTAAAACAGAATTTGAACAGAACTAGAACAGGAAACTAGAATAGGACTAGAATAGAACTAGACAGAACTAGAACAGAACTAGAACAGAAACTAGAACAGAACTAGAACAGAACTAGAACAGAACTAGAACAGAACCTTGGACAGAACTAGGACAGAACTAGGACAGAACTAGAACAGAACTAGAACAGAACTAAAACAGAACTAGAAACAGAACAAGAACAGAACAGAACAGAACTAGAACAGAACTAGAACAGAACTAGTAGAACAGAACTAGAAACCCCAGAACTAGAACAGAACTAGAACACGAACTAGAACAGAACTAGGAACAGAACTAGAACAGAAACTAGAACAGAACTAGACAACAGAACTCGAACAGAACTAGAACAGAACTAGAACAGAACTAGACAGAACTGAACAGAACTAGAACTAGAACAGAACTAGAACAGAACTAGAACAGAACTAGAACAGCACTAGAACAGAACTAGAATGAACAGAACTAGAAACAGAACTAGAACAGAACTGAACAGAAACTAGAACCGAACTAGACAGAACTAGAACAGAACTAGAACTAGAACAGAACTAGAAGAACTAGACAGAACTAGAACAGAACTAGAACAGAACTAGAACAGAACTAGAACAGAAACTAGAACAGAACTAAGAACAGAACTAGAAACAGAACTAGACAGAACTTGAACAGAACTAGAACGAACTAGAACAGAACTAGAACAGAAACTAGCACAGAACTAGAACAGAACTAGAACGAATGAACAGAACTAGAACAGAACTAGAACAGAACTAGAACAGAACTAGAACAGAACTAGAACAGAACTAGAACAGAAACTAGAACAGAAATAGACAGAACTAGAACAGAACTAGAACGAACAGAACTAGAACAGAACTAGAACAGAACTAGAACAGAACTAGAACAGAACTAGAACAGAACTAGAACAGAACTAGAACAACAGAACTAGAACTAGAACAGAACTAGAAACTAGAACAGAACTAGAACAGAACTAGAACAGAACTAGACAGAACTAGAACAGAACTAGAACAGAACTAGAACAGACTAGAACAGAACTAGAACAGAACTGAACAGAACTAGAACAGAACTAGAACAGAACTAGAAACAGAACTAGAACACGAACTAGAAACCGAACTAGAACAGAACTAGAACAGAACTAGAACAGAACTAGAAACAGAACTAGAACAGAACTAGAACAGAACTAGAACAGAACTAGAACAGAACTAGAACAGAACTAGAACAGAACTAGAACAGAACTAGAACAGAACTAGAACAGAACTAGAACAGAACTAGAACAGAACTAGAACAGAACTAGAACAGAACTAGACCAGAACTAGAACAGAACTAGAACAGAACTAGAAACAGAACTAGAACAGAACTAGAACAGAACTAGAACAGAACTAGAACAGAACTAGAACAGAACTAGAACAGAACTAGAACCGAACTAGGAACAGAACTAGAACAGAACTAGAACAGAAACTAGAACAGAACTAGAACAGAACTAGAACAGAACTAGAACAGAACTAGAACAGAACTAGAACAGAACTAGAACAGAACTAGAACAGAACTAGAACAGAACTAGAACAGAACTAGAACAGAACTAGAACAGAACTAGAACAGAACTAGAACAGAACTTAACTAGAAACTTCAATAACTTTCTTACAACCCTCGTAACTTCCGTTTTAATGATGAATTTGTGAAAAGCCTCTGCCCACAGACATTTCTTGATAATTTTTTTTTTTGGTAATTTATCTTTACCAATTTATACCTGTACTTGTACTCAATTAAAGCTTTTGAAGCTGCATGTACTTTTTCAGTTTTAAATTGCCTTTGTATTATATTTTTCATTTCTATATTTAAGATTTCTTAACAAACATTACACAAATATCTACATAAATACTTACGTCCATAAATGTGTATGTAAGTACATAGATAAAGACAAATTCACTTAAACTAAGTACAACCTACACAATTCAAAACTTATTGGGGTGTTTCTTTTCTAAAGTCTTTGAAATGAAATCAAAAAGTCATACATGCGCCTTCTTTAGCCACAGGATGTGGGTTTGTTTAGTTTATGCATTTCATCTTTTTTTTTATAATTTTTGACTTTGAAAAAAAGCTTTTAGATTTATTTTCTTTTTTGTTCTCTCCTTACAAAGTTAGCAAATAAATGTAACAAAAACACAATAAAGATAAAACCAAGCCCACCGTTGATTGGTTGCAAGATTTATATTTTACACTAAATTGTATTTGCTTTCCTTTTTTATAAAGAAATAAAAAGTTAAGCTTTTTTCCTCTGTTTTGTAAATTACATTAGTGTGTGTGGAAATATTCAGATGTCCTGATATGAAAAAATGAAGGGAGGCATAGGACTTATTCAAACACATACTAACAGAGGCGACTTTATGACAAAAACAACAATATTTTATATTATGAGAAAGTGATGTCAAATGAAAAAGCTTTATTTACACAGATTAGTATAAACATTATAAACAAATATTAGTGCTTTGTTAACAGTAAAGGGAAGTATTGGTGGAATAATTGCCAACCAGGAGAGCAAGAGAGTGTGCTTTAAAGTATTATTAATGAATAACGAGAGATTTTTATTATTTTCATAAAAATAAGCTTAGAGCTTAGGATTGTGTAAGAAAGCTTTAAAAAATATTGGGTATTTTATGTGTTTCGTTAAATAATCATATATTCTTGGGAAACGTTAATTTAAAAAAAGTTTTTATATCCGTTCACCTTCGTGAGAAGAGTATATATAAGTTTGTCATTCAGTTTGTAATAGATATCATAGTTGATTTAGCCATGTCCTTCTGTTTGTCTGTCTGTTCGTCTGTGTGTATTTTGAAATCAATTTTCTAAAGACCTCAGATGTCCTCTGGATCCAAATCTTCAATATTTATATCAGACATGCTTTCGAGAAGTGTCCTATTTAAAACCAACAACCTCTGTAAAATTCATATAAGATTCGGCAAAGCGATAATTTAAATCTTACTTGTTTATTCTAGATGTGTTCTAGTTGTGTTCTAGTTCTGTTCTAGTTGTGTTCTAGTTGTGTTCTAGTTGTGTTCTAGTTCTGTTCTAGTTCTGCTCTAGTTCTGTTCTAGTTCTGTTCTAGTTCTGTTCTAGTTCTGTTCTAGTTCTGTTCTAGTTCTGTTCTAGTTCTGTTCTAGTTCTGTTCTAGTTCTGTTCTAGTTCTGTTCTAGTTCTGTTCTAGTTCTGTTCTAGTTCTGTTCTAGTTCTGTTCTAGTTCTGTTCTAGTTCTGTTCTAGTTCTGTTCTAGTTCTGTTCTAGTTCTGTTCTAGTTCTGTTCTAGTTCTGTTCTAGTTCTGTTCTAGTTCTGTTCTAGTTCTGTTCTAGTTCTGTTCTAGTTCTGTTCTAGTTCTGTTCTAGTTCTGTTCTAGTTCTGTTCTAGTTCTGTTCTAGTTCTGTTCTAGTTCTGTTCTAGTTCTGTTCTAGTTCTGTTCTAGTTCTGTTCTAGTTCTGTTCTAGTCTGTTCTAGTTCTGTTCTAGTTCTGTTCTAGTTCTGTTCTAGTTCTGTTCTAGTTCTGTTCTAGTTCTGTTCTAGTTCTGTTGTAGTTCTGTTGTAGTTCTGTTGTAGTTCTGTTGTAGTTCTGTTCTAGTTCTGTTCTAGTTCTGTTCTAGTTCTGTTCTAGTTCTGTTCTAGTTCTGTTCTAGTTCTGTTCTAGTTCTGTTCTAGTTCTGTTCTAGTTCTGTTCTAGTTCTGTTCTAGTTCTGTTCTAGTTCTGTTCTAGTTCTGTTCTAGTTCTGTTCTAGTTCTGTTCTAGTTCTGTTCTAGTTCTGTTCTAGTTCTGTTCTAGTTCTGTTCTAGTTCTGTTCTAGTTCTGTTCTAGTTCTGTTCTAGTTCTGTTCTAGTTCTGTTCTAGTTCTGTTCTAGTTCTGTTCTAGTTCTGTTCTAGTTCTGTTCTAGTTCTGTTCTAGTTCTGTTCTAGTTCTGTTCTAGTTCTGTTCTAGTTCTGTTCTAGTTCTGTTCTAGTTCTTCTGTTCTAGTTCTGTTCTAGTTCTGTTCTAGTTCTGTTCTAGTTCTGTTCTAGTTCTGTTCTAGTTCTGTTCTAGTTCTGTTCTAGTTCTGTTCTAGTTCTGTTCTAGTTCTGTTCTAGTTCTGTTCTAGTTCTGTTCTAGTTCTGTTCTAGTTCTGTTCTAGTTCTGTTCTAGTTCTGTTCTAATTCTGTTCTAGTTCTGTTCTAGTTCTGTTCTAGTTCTATTCTAGTTCTGTTCTAGTTCTGTTCTAGTTCTGTTCTAGTTCTGTTCTAGTTCTGTTGTAGATCTTTTCTAGTTCTATTCAGGTTATGTTCTAGTTGTTTTCTAGTTGTGTTGTAGTTTAAGTCCTATTAAGTTCCAAAATCCAATCCATTAGGCGATTCCATTTATGTAAATTTTAATGAACCGCAAAGTATGCTAGACAACCAAGAAATAGAAACACATTAATTAAATTAACCGTTACATTCTACAATCTCTTCATATTATGCATAATTATTTGCATTTTAACATAATAATTTAATAAAACT